CCTAGTAGTGATGGAGCATTCTGGCACCTTCATATTACTTGGATTATTGCTCAGTGTAGCTCTGTGATTTGTTTGATAGTTGTTCAGCCAAAACTGCTCATATTGAAATGTGGCTTTGCTGAGCGCATGTAGGCATTCTGTTTGACTTGGGGAGCACTCTTCGATAGCGCCAGAATATTGTGCCATATTTGGACTCACTGTAACACTGTTGGTTGTCTCTCTGTGCCTTGCTGGTTATTCTGTCAGCAAGAATGACTCAGATGGAGTGTGGCTCTACTGAGCCATCATATGGTGTGCGGGTGGGTTGTAGTATCATCCCTAGTACTGATAGACCATCCTGACATGCTCATACCACTGCAATTGTTGCGGAGTGTGGCTCTGGGATTTGTTTTGTATTTATCCGGCCCAAACCACTCGTATTGAGATGTGGCTTCCCTGAGTGGACATAGGCAATGTGCTTAGCTTGAGAAGCCTTTCTTTATGTCAATGGAGTATTGTGCTATATTCAGATTCACTGTAACACTGTTGGTTGTCACTCTGTGCCCACCTGAGCATTCTGTCAGCGAGAATGACTCAGATTCAGTGTGGCTCTACTGAGCTGTTATATGGCATGTAGGTGAGTTGTGATGTGGTTCCTAGTATCAATGGACCATTATAGCATATTCAGACCACTAGGAGTGTCACTGCGGGTAGCCCTGTGATTTGTTTGATAATTGTCCAGTTGGCACTGCTTGTATTCAGATGTGGCTTTGCTGAGTGCATGTGTGCCTTGTGTTTGACTTGGGCAGCACTCCCTGATATAGGCAGAATATTGTGCCATGTTCACAAGCACTGTAACATGATTCATTGTGGCTCTGTGCTGTGCTGGCTATTCTGTCAGCAAAAATGACTCAGATTGAATGTAGCTCTACTGAGCAGTCATATGGCTTGCAGGTGAGTTGTGATATGGTCCTTAGTACTGACAGATGATTGTGCAATGTTCAGGCCTGCTGGATTGTCCATTAGAACAGCTCTGTAATTTGTTTATAATTTGTTCAGTTGAGAGCACTCATATTTAAATGTGGCTTTACTGAGTATACATGGCTGTTGCATTTGAGTTGGACAATATTACCTGATATATATTCACTATTCTGCCATGTTCATATCACCACAATTGCAAGGCATTGTCACTCTGTGAGCAGCCAGTGTCTCTGTCAGCCAAAATGACTCAGATTGAGTGTGGCTCTACTGAGTGCTGATATCATGTGCGGGTGAGGTGTAGTGTTGTCCCAAGTGCTGATGGACCATTCTGGCATGTTCCTATTACTAGGATTATTGCTCAGTGTAGCTCCATGATTTGTTGGATAGTTGTCCAGCCAAAACTGCTCATATTGAAACATGTCTTTGCTGAGTGCATGTAGGTGTTCTGTTTGACTTGGGGAGCACTCCTCGATAGCGACAGAATATTGTGCCATATTTGGACTCACTGTAACACTGTTGGTTGTCTCTCTGTGCCCTGCTGGTTATTCTGTCAGCGAGAATGACTCAGATTGTGTGTGGCTCTACTGAGGGGTCATATCATGTGCATGTGAGTTGTGGTGTGGGCCCTAGTAGTGATGGAGCATTCTGGCACCTTCATATTACTTGGATTATTGCTCAGTGTAGCTCTGTGATTTGTTTGATAGTTGTTCAGCCAAAACTGCTCATATTGAAATGTGGCTTTGCTGAGCGCATGTAGGCATTCTGTTTGACTTGGGGAGCACTCTTCGATAGCGCCAGAATATTGTGCCATATTTGGACTCACTGTAACACTGTTGGTTGTCTCTCTGTGCCTTGCTGGTTATTCTGTCAGCAAGAATGACTCAGATGGAGTGTGGCTCTACTGAGCCATCATATGGTGTGCGGGTGAGTTGTAGTATCATCCCTAGTACTGATGGACCATTCTGGCATGCTCAGACCAGTAGGATTGTTGCTCAGTGCAGCTCTGGGATTTGTTTCATGATTGTTCAGTTGAAACTGCTCATGTCGAGATGCAGCTTTGTTGAGTGCATGTATGCCTTCTGTTTGACATGTGGTCCATTCCTTGATATAGATGGAATGTTGTGCCATATTTGGATTCAGTATAACACCGTTGGTTGTCCCTCTGTGCCCTCCTGAGTATTCTGTCAGCGAGAATGACTCAGATTTGGTGTGGCTCTACTGAGCCATTATGTGGCATGTAGGTGAGTTGTGGTGTGGTCCCTAGTACTGATGGACCATTCTAGCATATTCAGACCACTAAGAATGTCACTGAGTGTAGCCCTGCAATTTGTTTTGTATTTGTGCAGCCGACACTGCTCATATTGAGATGTGGCTTTGTTGAGTGCACGTATGCCTTCTGTTTGACTTGTGATCCATTTCCAGATATAGATGGGATATTTTGCTGTTTTTGGATTCAGTATAACACCATTGGTTGTCCCTCTGTGCCCTGCTGGTTATTCTGTCAGCGAGAATGACTCAGATTTGGTGTGGCTCTAATGAAGCATTGTATGGTGTGCGGGTGAGTTGTGGTGTGGTCCCTAGTACTGATGGACTATCCTGGCATGTTCAGACCACACAGGCCTTCACTGGTGACAGTGCTGTGAATTATTTGGGTGTTTGTTTTATTGAGATCACTCGTAATTGAATATCGCTCAGCTGGGCAGTCATATTGCTTCCGATTGAGTTCAGGTATAGCTCTAAGTAGTCCTGGAGTATTCTGGCATGTTCACACTGTCTGGGTTGTTGTTCAATAGAGCTGTGTGATTTGTTTGGTATTCTGTCATTCTGAATGACTAAGACTCTGCATGGCTATACTGAGTGGCAGTGTGGCTTGTCAGTGAGGTGTGTGTGATTTCCTAGTACTGATTGGCTGTCGTGGCATGTTGAGAGTGCAAAATTTGCCATTGGGCACAGCACTGTGATTTGTTTTGTATTTGTTTCCCTCAAATCACTTTCATTTAAATGTGGCACTACTGAGCGGTTAGATGGCTTGCGTTGGATGTGGGAACCCTTGCCTGAGACAGACATGCTATTATGGTGAGTTCAGACCATGTAGATTGTGAGTTGGTATAGCTCTGTGAATTGTTTGTTGTTTTGTTGTCGGGAACAACTCAGACGTTCCGCAGCTGTGCTGAGAGGTCATATGGCTTGCATATGAGTTGGGGAGTAGGCCCTGGCATTGTGAGCCCATTCTTGCCTGTTGAGAAAGCCTGAGCTGTCATTGTGTGCAACTTTGTGATTTGTTTGGTGTTTGTTCAGCGGAAACAACTTGTATTTCAACGTGGATTTATGGGGGCACGGAGGGCATGTGTCTGATGGAGAAAACATCTCCTGATATCGACTGACTATTGTGGTGCATTTAGACCACTTGAAATGTCAACAGGCACAGCTCTGGGATTGAATCGGTGGTTAGTTGGCATAATAAGACCAATAGTCGTCCGTGCTTCTGCTCAGTGCACACAGAGGCCAGATATGCTCTGGAATGTCTTTCCTAGCGTACATGGAGTGCTGCCACACATTCAGCAGACCAGGAATCGTAACATTGCATGACTTGGGGATTTGTTCGGTGAGTGATGGTTGACGGTGCAACGGGTGGAACAGTAGCACTACTGAGCGGATGTATTGCTCTCCTTCTGGTTGCCTGCTGTTGACAAGGAATGGATAACAGGTCCCATTGCATGTGGGGACATACAGGTGGTGACGTGTGTACGTTGGCAGTGGGGCACGCCCAACATTCAAAGTTGTTTCAGCCACGAGTGAGAGTGGTCCGATATGCAGTGTGGGTCCCTGTGAGAGGTGCTGAAGAAAAGAGAAAAGAGGATGTGAGTGAGAGAACGACAGTGACGAGCGAGAATGGTCAGGATGGACGTGTTATGCACGTAGAAAGACAGTTGAGTTGGCGGTCGGGAGTGCCCGGCAGGCACTGCCCAGCAGGGGGTCGTGGGAAACTATTTCCATATATGGTTAGATTGCCCAGCAGGGGCACCGGGCACCAGGCATAGGGGTAGGCAAGGTTTGCCAGTGGTTCTTCCAATGACATTGCTCCAAAATCCCTTTTGGGTGAGCTGAGTTGCAGACAAATGCAGGGCTGCAGTTGTATACAAGTCTGCTTCGGCAACGGGCACTTAATGAGCACTTAGTAAGCGGTGTAAGTGCAGACTGTTACTGTGTTCAAGAGGGCTTGTATTGACTCAAAAAAAGCGGAATATTCACAAGCTATTCAGAATGAATGAGGTCAAATCCTTATAGCCTTCCATGATACAATTGTTGCATCAACTAGGGCAGTATACTCAATAACATGGTGAGATTCACATTCAGTGAGCTCATATAAGCCTATGATCACACTTCAGACAGTGTCTCTGCAGCAGCATACAAAGCCTGATGTCATAGTAGCATGAATACATATGTATGGATGGCCATTATATATCCCCAGATTGTGTCTATGTGTCTATATGCCAGCTACATGCCCCAACTACCATATAGAGTAGGTGTCCTGCCCAAAGAGGAAGTAGGACAAGATGTGGTGTCCATGGAGCTCACAAAAATGCAGAAAATCTGTCAAATATACAGAAGCACCCAATAGGAGAATCTGAGTGCTTGGGATTATGATAGACACATTACACCATGTACATGGACTACAACATGTGAAAAGAGGGTCAAATGGCTCATTGTGGCTGATTTTGGCTGTAGTGCAGCACCCACTGAGTTGTACAGTGTCTGAATCACATATGTATGTCATTACTGACATATGGAACACATCTGAGGCACAAATAGGCATTTTGACATCTGCAAAGGCACATGTGGATTTTTTATTTTGCATTTTCTGGACCAGCCAGCCACTCTAGCTACTCAATTATGATAGTGTATACTCTCTGAATGAAGGGCTATTAGATCAGTATACTAAGTGCACTACATGTTGTTCCTAACTAGGGCTACGGGACAGCCTATAAGTGTGAGTGCTAGCAGCAGCATGCTCCCTGGCTGACAATCATGTGATATGCTCACCAGTTGCCATATTGGGTGCCACTGGAAGCGTTTCTTGGGCCCTCACCCCAGGACAAAGCACTGAGCCACAGCATTTGTTTGGTGGTGTTGGTGCAAGTCGCGTCGTCTGGGAGTCTAAAATTTTTGAACTCTGCTAACTGACCATAACAAATGTTAACTATACATGGTAAGCTGGGGGCAAATGACTGTACCTGTGGGAAAAAACTGCCGCATTGGGCGCCACTGGAAGTGTTTCAGGCCCGTCCATCATAAGAACGATACCTTCGTACCTCAGGGATCGTAATCTGCCGAGCAAAGCCTGTGGGTAGGAGTGCACAGCAAATGCCTTGCCACTTCCATGTTCTGCCTCCATCCCATCCAGCTTTTTGCCAGCCGTGTAACCTCATTGTCAACATCACTGCCATCAAACACCCACTGCGTAACAATGGTAACGGTTGTGGGTGTCATAGACATCACCGTGCTGTGCAATTATATTGTCTGGGTCGACGGGTGTCCAGTTATTGACCACCCAAGCTCTGTTGTCCAGGTGTCAGATGCAATGTGGGAGAATTAATGTGAGATGCAACTCACCCAGACCCAATCATTCACATTGACATTGAAAACAAATACAACTGCAGAGTGTTGTCCTTCTGCAAGTGCTTGGCCAACTCCATGCACTTGAACATAGTAGAGAGTTTTGGCGGCAACTCTGTGTTGGAGCATGAGGTTAGGCACGAGCTTGCAAGCTTGGCTGAGATTGTACCTGGAAAAGATAAGGGGAGGTCAGGGTATATAATGAGTAGATTTTGGTGTATCTACCTCACGTGATTGCCCTTCAGGCATCGTCTGCGCCCGGGACACTCGCGCTTGTCGAACACTGTTCCGCTTGTTCTCACACTCTGACAGTTCGTGTGACCACCAGACCACAGCTCCAACACCACAGATCTCTGTCAGATTTGCGGTGGGCATGACACAGGCATTACTGGCTGGCCTGGAGACTGTGGCAAAGTAGTGTTCACAACCATTACATTGTATGCCTCTGTGACCTTCAAGTCATGTTTTCCAATACACAACAGAAATCTATCTTATCTCTGCAATGTGTCTACTTCTCAATAGCCTCTCTCTTGATCAATTCATCAGTGTTCTTGGGCCTCACAAGCATTGTGACTGTTCTCAGACTGGGCCATTCATCTTGTCTCTGAAGTGCCCTTGCTGGGAATGCTTCAATTTTGGCTTGAGCAGTGGTGGGCGTCACATCTGTCCTACAAATACCTAATCCTTTCCACACATTAATGCGCTACAGCTTTCTGACCATCAAGGCACTCTGTGTCCTCCTCAGGTGATTGACGTGATATCTAAAAGGAGTGCAACGGCGGTGTCGATGTGGCGCACGTAACTCGCGTGGTTTTCGCGTATGCTCGCGTGGAGCGCACATGGCGTCCATGTTCGCCGCGTGGCCTCATGTGGCGCACCCTCCTCCCATAAGCTCCCGGCGTCTTCCGCCCGCGGGCGCCTGCGCGAGCCAGCCCAAGGTGTCCCCAAGGCTGAATTTCCGCGGGGAAGTGACGGAAAAATGAGTAGAGAAAATACACATAGGTTATAAATGGGAAGCCTGAGTGATGGGAAGAAAAATACAACTCAGTGCTGGGAAATAGGACAGCTCAGCACTGGGAAATCAACACAGGGTAAATAGTAGAAATCAGCCCTGGGAAATGAGATATCAATACCAGGAAAATAAGGAAGATTGGTGGAATTTGCCCCAGGTCTGGCAGGCCCAAGCATTGTAATCTTATGGGCGACATGAAGCAGTGAATGAAAGAACCGCCCCATCAGCCCGTGGCGAAGCCACGGGTTGACGACACTCATATGCTCTGTGAGGTAATCCCTGAAGGTGATGTTTTTAGTGACCATGCTGTCCAGCAGCATCAGATAGTGTGTCATTGTCATGGCCAGCAACCCCATCTGAGTGGCATGGTACCATATGTCCCTCTCAACATCTTCAGTGTTGACTGTGGGTGCCATCAGATAGGATGACAAGCAAGAGCTTGCAATCTGTGAACCAATTTAACAAACTGGAAGTCTTTCAGAGTGTGCTCCACAATGGCCTCAAATCCGTTGAGTGTGATACAGACATCTCAGCGTGTAAAGCCACCTTGAGCATGTGCCTATCTTCTGCAATGTGCAGCCACTGGTGCCAAGCAAAGAGATGGATGACCTGAGGCACAAAGCCCCAAGTAATAACTGACAGCAAATAAAATATTGATAGACCACCCTGCGAATCGCGCACACTGGGGTTTGGTGCCGCGGGCGCTACTTTTGGGCGCTTTGGCACGACCTCCTTCCGCCGCTCCATCTCAAGTACTGTCCACTGCCCTCTCTGGGTTGTTGACTATGGGAAATCATCGCTACATCCTTCCAGCTCAGACGGAGCTCGTTGTCACCATGTCAAAATCAGTGTCAACACGGCAGATAGTGTTTTGAACGATGTCACAAATATATTTTGGAAATTGTCTGTATAATATCCTCGCTTGTGATGACAGTGGTGAACTACCATTGCTCCTTACTGCGAGTGGCGGGATACTGATCAGGCAAGGAACAGTGCCATGGTGAACTCAGTCTCGTGGTATCAGTTAGCCCCGCCCTGCTCGTGGAGCTCCCCAGCGCTATGTGCCTAATGTTCCACCGGACCCCACTGTGCGCGATTTGCAGGGCGGTCTATTGATATTTTATTTGCTGGAAAAGTGATGGGTCAGCCACACATTCCATACATGCATACCAATTCAACCTGCACTCGCGCTGGCAGCGCCAACGCGGGTGTGCTATACCACATATGTGACCTGGTACCCGCGCTCGCGCTGGTGACGCGAATGGGGGTAACAATGCGTACATTATTGTACTGTCTCTACCCGCACTTGCGTCACCAGCGCGAGCGCGGGTACCAGGTCACATATGTGGTATAGCACACCCGCGTTGGTGCTGCCAGCGCGAGTGCGGGTTGAATTGGTATGCATGTATGGAATGTGTGGCTGACCCGCATTCGTGCACTACCACAACACGAGGATTTATGTACGGTTACCAGCACTCGCGCTGCAGCGCGAGTGCGGGTAACCGTTTTCGGACAGCCGTGCTTTACCTGCAATGGCACGTGTAGCGCAAGTGTGGGAAAAAAAAAAAGGAAGAAGATGGGTGTTCCCCATGCGCAGAGGTCTGGTTTTTTGTGAAAACCTCGCCCTGACCCCGCCCTGACCCCGAACATTGGTCGAAAATGCCCTATAATTGGCTAACGATCGGACCAGTCTGGGCCTAGTCACGTGCTGTATCACGTGTGGCCTGGAGCGTGTCACGTTTAATCACGTGACCCGTCAGGTGATTTCGGGCTCCGCGGGGATCTCGGGCAGCCAGTGAAGCCTCCGGGTGCTCCCGCTGTCCGGATCTCTCCGGATTTGGATCACATGCACGCGTACACGTGCAATCTCTGGATATAGTAGGATGATGTCAGTACGTTCTGGATCGGTCTCCACTGGGGCCAGTGCGGTCCAGAAAAGAAGTCCATCACGGACATCAAAGGTATTTGCAAGATGTGATATGTCACTTCGCCCAATCTGGGTTGTTGTGGTACTGTACAGGTAAACGTGACTAAACAACACCAAAGGGATCTGACGAGGCTATAAGCCGAAAGGTCCGCCGTAGAGGACCCCCTCAGTGGCCTTATCCTTTTGGCTTTTCCCCCCACTCGTCACAAAACGCGGCTTCGCCGCGTTCGTTTTTGTGTCAATCACCTAACTTGTCCATGATCTACTTGGGGTTCATCATGGTGTCATGCCCATGCTACCCCACAACAGAGTCATGTATTGCATACTGTCGCCGACATTACAGAATATCACATGATGCATCATGTGCACGGCCCACTATCCAGGTCATGTGACTGTATAGCTCTTAGTCAGCAGTACCCACACATTAAAATAGCACAGCACATAACCAGCTCCTGCTGCGCAAGACATGTGATTGTACAAAGAAAGGCAGGTACCCACGCTGCATATGACTCTGCCCAATGAGGCTATGGACACAACCAGATCACATGCCTGTGGCTTCACAGCCACGTGAAAAAACAAAACACACACAAACTCAGCCACACTGAGCTTAAAAAGGGGCACCCCCAGTTGATGGTGGCTGAACCACTCTTGAACTGCTACCACCACCATCCTCTTTTGGAAGCCATAACAGCTCAAGCTCAAATTCAAACATGTCTGTGAGTGCATCATACTACTGCCATTGCTCTGACATGCCATATGCTCAATGACATCTGCAGAGCCCCATCAGTGAAGTGATTTTTTTCTCTTCTTTTGTGTACTGTCGTCGACATTACAACATGGCACTCACTTTCTTTCCCCCATAGACCTTCAACACCATTGAGGAGTCCCAGCCCAATGAGGTAGAGGACAAGGGAAGCCCAATGGTGAGTTCATTTTTCATTTTTGTGTATTGTCACTGACACAAAAAAATTGACAGTCAATGTCTGATCAAGAAGCACAGGAAGTTGCTGCAATTGAAGAAAGTTACGAAGTTGTATGTGTACTGCTTGCCAGAGTGACAATCTGACTGATGGGCTTTGCTTGTGCATATAGTATAAAGAGGTAGGATAAACAACAAATTAATGCACATGGGTGGTCACTGACATTTACTAGATCGCCAGCAGCTTTGGGGAACTTGCAGTCACTCCCTTGTATGCTGACTCGCAGGCTGATGACACTTATGGTGAACTGCCTGCCAATCAGGCTAGCCTCACAGCCGTAAAGGAGGCAGAATTGTCAGACTCTGAGTCTGAGTCTGTTCATCAGGCCAGTTAATTATAAATATTGTGTAACGTCGTCGACAGTATCCTAAAGTGTTTTGGATGATTGCAGGCCACACGCGTCGAAGTTATGAAGGCCAGGAAAGAAGGAAAGATGGTAAGCATGAGCGTGGCATTGTTTATAATGTTCAGCCAATGTGAATGTATATTCTGCAGCGTGCTGCCAGTGTCCCAAGTGATGAAGTGCGTATATAAATCCCTCCCACTGAAGTGCACAAGATGCTCAAATATTGCACACACAGGAGAGTGAGGCACAGATGACTGATGATGAAGAGGAGAGCAGCACAGAGGAGAGCAGCGCAGAGGAGAGTGAGGCGCAGATGACTGATGAAGAGGGGAACAACGCCAACGAGAGCAGTGAGGAGGAGGAGGAGGAGGAGAACATGAGTGACTCCAGTGAAGATGTTGCACTGATGAGCAAGGTAAAGAAATCTGCTTCAGTGGTGAGTGGCTGACAACTTTTGTATGTCTGCTATACTGGGGTTGACTTATAACTTTCAACTTGCTGGGGAGTGGGCCATGTATGGCAATACGATCCCAGTTGTGTTGTCTGTGTCTTTTGTTTTCTGGTTCATCAAATTATCACTTCAATCTCACTTATCAATGATTATATGTATTATGTATTGATACATACTAGTCTGTGAGACTAACTTCTGTGCTTGACTAGACCAAGCAGTTGTCAAGCTTTAACAATAATACTAACCTTGCACAAGCCAAATTTTATTCATCAGGGAGTATCATAGTAGTAACAGAGATGTTTACATTCATATGGCTCAGCTCATCATCCTTAATGTGGTAACACAAATCCTGAGTCCTAAGTGTCCTAGACAATCCATAACCTTTCCAAAAAGATTTATTGATTCCAGGTAGCTATGCCAATATTGCTATACAGCCATTACCCAATGATATGTGCAGTTGCACAGTTGCTCTTGCCTAACTGTAGCTAAGCTGTCCTGTTATACCATGTCTGGGATATAATGTACTGTCTCAAACACTGAACAATGATACCACCTCAAACTGGCAGACTTTTCTATTACATAATCTGTGTAGAGCATGCTAATGAATGAATAATGATAATTATTAGAGTTCATTGTACCATTTGAGCTGGGTAGGGAGTCATATACTTCCCTACAAATTGTTACTATACTGGCCTAGACCTTCCCAATGTCAAAGTCTGTTCAGGTTAAGTTTGGTACATTCATGATCCTTGTTCCTGAATTTTAGCTCATGCTGTGGAAAAACAGTCAGTCACATGGTCAAGATACAGTATACTGGAATTCTCATCTGTATTCCTCCTCATCACTTGTCCCAACACCATTCCATAGCATGTCTCTGTCACTACAGACATATGTAACAAGTTACTAGCAACAATCTGCCCCAGACATTGTTACAAATATTCAATGGAGAGCAAGAACCTGTAAATAAGAATTATATCATCAACATCACTGTTTTTTTCTTGCACAATAGCAGGCAGTCTGCATAAGTCTTTCCCTTCTTCAGAAGGATCAGCTGTAGTCCAGAGCTTTGGGTGAGCAAAATGACCACATATGTCATTCATTAGTACTTCATTGATTTTCTGGAGTTTGGGATTTCTTTCTGAGCCTACACAAGGAGGTTAAGTGGCCTCAAAATGAATATCCTGCACATGTTCATGCTTTGTTCCATATGAAGGCTATGGAAATTATGAGGAGGTCTGTGAAGAAGCTATCACACAATCATGATTACTACTACATATGGCAGGTGCCCTCCCAATTGGCAATCTCACACTGGGCAATGCTTTGTGGGCCTAGTCAGCATACATGCATTATATGTGTCCTGTGTCCTGTTCTTGAAATGCTATTGTGAGACATTCAAAGTTGCTGATGCTCCTTCTCATGGATTACAGTGCTTTATGTGACCCATTTTGCATCTTTCCATAGTTATTGGCCTTTGAAATTTTCTCAATTGTGCTCTCTGTCTGTATCAATGACAATTAGCACAGTATGCATTCCTACACTCATTGTCACAGGGTGCTATGTAATGCAATTTCTGGGGAAGATATTAGACCCACTCTGTTGTGATTGTGAGCATATATCAGACATATTGGGAGCACACACATGGCTGTGTCTAGTGATATTGTTAGATGTGCATACTCTCACTTGTCAGGCTACATATGTACTGGATACCTCAATGTCATACTGTCTGAATCCTCAAACATTAAACATTGTGCTCTCATCTTTAGCATTCACTCCAAGATATCATAGAGTGGCCACAGGTAACACCCAATGTGGTACTGTTACTATTGTGTCATGAAAGCTGATTGGCATCCTTGTGGCACTTGTAATTGCAGACATATTGGTATCATACAACCTCAAGGTACTTCAAGATAGCTACAGAGAGGTCCTCCAAATTATTGTGGATTTATGCGATTTTCTTGGGCCCAAATCAGTAGGTTTTGTCCTCAGAATGAATATTCTGCGCATTTTTGACTGCTGTTTTGAAGTCACATGACCAATGACGTGGGGTCGCAGCAGTTGCAGCGAAAACACCGCTGCGAGTGTTGCGACCCCACGTCATTGGTCATGTGATTGGCTAGTGGCTATTGTGCCTGTTCTGGTACAAAAGAGACATGTATACAAAGATAGTGATGTGTAGCTAATGTGAACCATGGAAATGTACATTTCAGGCAAGTTGTGGGAGGGCTTATTGCACAAGAAGTATCACAAAAGCTCACAATGCCCTAAATGGTGAGCAACCTTCCAAATCCAGTAATTCTTCATAAAGTGAATGTCTGGTGATTCATAAATTGCAGATAAATCAGAAGATATTCATAGAGCACTATGACATGTTTATGAGGGATGTGTGATTTACAATATGTTACCATATATGGAAGGTAAGCTATAACACCATGCACAAGCATGAAATCAGCCAACCTTGCCCATTCTGAGCTCTGTTGTGGCACCATAAAGCATTTTCATGATGTCTGACACACATGGCTATACTGTATAGGTCATGTGCTCCACATCTAGGGTGAAAATAAGCAGTTCAAATTCTGCAAAGTCTCTTGTGTTTTTTTGTATTTTGCATTTCCTGGCCTAACTAGCCACTATTGGGGCCCAACAAAATTACTGTAGACTCTATGAAACAAGGGCTACAAGTTGACTATATAATTGCCATATCCATTTGTGGGTGCTTACTGTTGCAAAAAGTGATTGATTCTATTGGAGCCCAGTGTCGCTGGTGAGGTCACATGCCATGCTCACCTCTTTCCATATTGGGCTCCAAGCTAGACGTTACAGGAGGCCCAAGTCCATGGGCAATTGTCAGCCACAGCATTTGTTTGCAGGTGTTGGTGCAAGTCGCGTCGTCTGGGAGCCTGAAATTTGAAACTCAGCTAATGTAAGCATAGTAAGTGTTACTTATCTTTGATTATCTGGCGCTCAAACAGTCACATGCACTGTGGGAAAAACCTGCCACATTGGGCTCCATGCTAAGTGTTACATTCTCTCCAGTCATAAGAACGATTCCTTCGTACCTCAGGGATCGTAATTGCTACAGAAGGTCAACAAGAAGGTGCAGAAGATCCTTGTGAGTCTCCTGATTGGTTTTCTGTATTGTCGGCGACAGTACAGAATTTGATATTTTTTTGTCAGGTGCCCAAGCCAGAAGAGGCAGACATGCAAAGCCATTACACTACTTTCCAGACGGTGTACAGGCTGCTGAAGGACACCACCATTGGCTACTTCACTGTGACTGTCGCTCCCATGTCAAAGAGTGACAACATCAGACTTGATCCTCATGCTGGCGGTCCCACTCTGGCTCGCAACACTGTCAACCTTCGCACGACTGTCAACCTTTGCACGCTCGACGAGGGCCATGTTGGGTGTATTCTCACCAGTATGAAGAGGCAGTTTGAGGGGCTGCTCGACGAGAATGCACCCATTCTTGCAGTTGAACGTGAATGGCTTTCAATTCCAACTGTGAGTAATCAATAAATTATCAGTCATTGCATCTCCTGACCTGGCAACAAAACTTTCTATTCCAGGATCAAAGCGAGGACAGCGGATCGGAGGAATTCACTCTTTATCCTGGCACCGTCTGGACCCCACAAGCACAGGGCAAATTTGCCTCTATGCTGAACGGGTCCCACCGCTTTGAGGCATCCCTCCGCCTCACGCTGCCAGACACAAAGGCCTTGGAACAGGCACAACTTGCACTGAAGACCGTGCCAGAGGCATCAGAGCAACATGCTCTTGTGTCCCAGCGCATCAGAGATCTTGAGGACATCATCCGGACCAAGACAACCTGGACAGTACGGCTCTACGACAAGGGTCAGTCAATCTTTGTTATACCTGAGACGCCACAGCTTCTGATAGTTGCATACAGCCATGATCGAGGCTTTGCAGTACCACGAGCAGATGCTCTTCATCCTCGCCCAGAACCGGGACACCGCGAAGATGCCAGATGATGCTGAGTCGCAGCTCAACATGTCTCTCCATCTTCTGAGTGGCAAGCCAATGGACACCTGGGATGCTATCATCCCAGCAGTGCTGGGCAAGCAAAAGTCCAGTACAATCACTCGGCTCTTGCGGTGGCGCGAGCTGTCGAGAATGCTGGTTGATTTGACTGAGCTTGGGCTGTTCTATAAACCAAAGAACATGCCTGCGAAAGTCCTAGACATGATGTACCGTGTGAACGGTGACGTGAGTCAACTCATCTGCATTGTGTATCTGTACTAACACCCATTCTCAGTGTATTATTCCAATCGTGTGTGGTCTTACACTACGCTTCAAGTTCTTGCTGCGCTGCGATGGGCCTCCTCTTCTGGATTGCAAGGCATGGATTGCACAGCACCCCAAGGTTTTTGAAACAGATCCTCATGTGTATGCCTGGCGAGAGATGCCAGGGAGCTGAGGGAAGTCTGGGTTGCTGGTGTTGGCACTGGTAACGTGGAAACAACACGTCTATCAGACAAATTGCTCACAGCAATGGACGCTGCCTTCCACGACCACCTTGAGCCGTACATCGACTCGTTCTTCAGCTCAGACGCTGCCACCACTCAAAACAGTGATCAGTGCGACATCTGGACCGGGGCAATGAAGCTTTACTGGGTAGAAATCCGCAATGCCATCACCACCGAGTTCACTGACTCTGATGGCCACTGTGACCCCGCTCTGGCTCGCATCTTGAACCGACTTGACTGGCTCAGCGCCGGTGTTGACGCCTCTAACAAGGCTCTCCCGTCATTTGCCACCGAGTACCCTCTTGTCTCATCCCTACTCCTGGCATCTCTGCCGAGGGTGTTGAACAAAGTTGAGCCTGCCCTTGCTGCTGTGAGTGCTTTTCCATTGCCTGTCATTATGCATTGTCATTGACAATACACAAAAAATCCCCATATCTATCTAGTTTGCAACCATCATAGAGCCACTTGCACTGTTTGGTTCCAGGTTGCGGGGAAACCGTGTATGGACGTCAGGATGGGGAGGTGTGCGGTCCTACATTGAGAGCCGTATTGGTGGAGCGGACAAGAGAGAGGCTGTTGATGGCTTGTTCAGCACGGTATGTCACTTCTACATGCTTTTCATGGTAGTTCCACACTGATGCACATGATAGATAATGCGACATGTCCTTGAGCATCAAAATGTTGCTCTGTCAGCAATGACGGTGTACCTGAAAGGTCTACCGGGCATTGGGCTCAACCCCTCGCGCCCCCACATTGGTGACACCATGTCTGTCTACATCAAGGCGTGGTACACAGCTCTTGGCAACATCTTGACAAGATATATATCTCTTCAATGTCTTGAGGTTTTGGGTGGTTTTCTCTGATGCACCAGCTGCTCCCGTATCCTGACAAGATTTCTGAGTGCATGGACAAGGCTTAGCATATCTGGCATTTGTGTGTTGTTCTGAACATTTGCATCCACACGGGCCGGCAACCTTGTCTGTAGCTGTCCCCCTGGACTGGACTGCAGACGTGTGAGGAACAAAGTGTTCTCAGTGGGCAGGATGTGGTCGGGATACTGAGCGAGGTAGCTTGGGTTTCTACAGACATCCACTGAGTGAGTGGGCAAGCACTGTTCAGCACATCTGGAACCAGGCTCATCAGCGTAAGAGGACATGGGCACCGAGACTTGGGGACACACTGCCGCCGTTGACATTGAATTCAATGAATCTACACCATTCCCTGGTTCTGGGAAGTACAAATGGGCAGCCTGAGCGAGAGAGGCCTGGGACCAAAGGGTCCATGGAGGGAGGTGTTGCCATTGTTTCCAACACACCCATCTCAGGGGCGAGGCCCAAGTGATAAAATGGCATCATGCTTGCCAGTGTACATGGTGGGATATTTTACCCAGGTCACAATACATGCTAGTGAGTCTAAACTGCTTATTCTATTATCCAAACACTTCAGATTTCACAACTGTTGGCCATATGTCAATATTCACATATCCCTATAGGGTCAATGATATTTGCTGTTGAAGAAATATGCACATTGTGGTTTCCTTAGTATACTTGAAATATAGGAAGTCATATACATATGAGGGTGCACTTTCAAGTAGTGCTGTAACTGTAGTAGGTTTCATACAGTTTCCTCTCTGGTCACAGAGGTTAGGACATCCTTGGTGAGCCACTTGTTTCCATGTTCCAGTAAGTTTCCAAATGCCTGTACTGAGAAGCCTTCTGCTGATGCAAGCACAATACCAGGTGGGCTTGTGTGACGGTCAGACATGCTTGGCACAACATGTCATGAGCCACAATGATCACAGCTGAGCTGGTGTAACAAAGTTCCCAAAAACAGGTGATAAGGGCTGTAACGAGACATTAGAATGGGACTGATGGTCTAGCAGCTAAGAGGGTTCAACTCCCATCTAGTTCCATCTTCATCAATTGTTACAGCTTGCTATTGGTCATTGCTGATGTCATGCCTCAGACAGCTGCCTGGACAGTGTACTTTGAATGTCCCTATAAGATGACAGTCCTTAATGCCCACTTATCTGAGGTTGCTGCTTAGATTTGAGAGCTACATAGGGACCCTTGCAAATAATGCAATAGCCAATGTCGTATCATAATGTACAAGACTAGAGTAGATTGCTGCCGAACAGCATCATACATATATCATTACAACTGAGCAGTTTCAATTGCTGTCACTAAAGTAGTACTTCAATGTCACACCTCTCACCTAATTTTTGCCAATGACACCAGCAGATGGGAGGGCACCGTCCTTATATGTTTTCTCATCCAAGCTCCGTGACGAGGGGGATGTAGGGCTCTGCAAACTAACCCTCCTCGATGGAGGCATACTATCACTTCCGCGGCTTCGCCCGCTTTCCGTCCTGAACCGCGATCCTGCAGCACTTGCAGGAAGGACAGTAGGGGACAGCGGCGATGATGCTTTTGCCCAAGGCATCTTCGAAATCATCCACCCCGGCCATGTCTTCTCTCGTTCCAAACGTTCGCGCCCGTCTCGTCGCCGCTCGAACGCTGCCCGATAACGTTCATAACTGTCGCGAAAGCCTCGCTCGACACGCGATGAGAAATGAGCTCGCCTCGCGGACTGGACGCAGGCGGAATGGGTGGGATGGGCACGGAGGAGCTACGTTTCGTCCGGCTAGCAGTAGGGGAAGGCGAGCGGTGGCGGAGCGGAGCGGCAGGAGCGACCGATGACGGTGTTGGTCGAGGGAAGAGTAGAGTGAACGGATTGAGGAAAGCGGGTAGTTTAGAACGTAGGGGAGGCTGGCGCACGTTCAGGTACATGTTGAAGTTTCTGGAGCGCACGATTCGCATGCGGCACGTACTCCGGCCGAGGCATAATTTCAAAGCTGAGCATTCGCATAGAAGGGGCAAGGACAAACATACCGATTGGCATAGCCGATTTCTCGCTGTACATCCCGGAGGCGAAGAAGAGGACCAGCGTCGTCA